TTGGTTGCAGACAAGCTAAAGAATTCATGCCGAATCGATTAAAAGCCAGAACCAGTGAGATTCTAATGCTTCACAGAAAAACCATCCGACTTGTGACAGGATTTCTCACTGGACATTGCAGAATAAAAAAACATCTATCGAACCTAGGTATTACTAGAGCCGATAGCTGCAGACTTTGTTACGAATAAGTGAAAACAGCAGAACACATTCTGTGTCCCTGTGATAGTTTCGCGAGACTCAGACTTCAGTACTTATTGACTGCCTATTAACTTAAAACGAAAATATGCAATATCTCTCCAAACGACTCACTAAAGTGAGTTTATCACAATTATTCTCAGAGGATGCAGTGATGTGGTGACAAGTTTCCAATCCGTCAAAAACCAAATGAATTAAATCAATCGGCATATCCCACTAAATATATGCGAACCATAAGTGTTTAAATTATTTAAAAAAATAATGGACCAAAGTTGTCTATATTTAGTAATCGACGAAAAATATTTCCACTAATTGATTATTGATCTAAATACTTAAAATTCAAGTAGATTATCTTAGTACTTGTATTTATACAACGAGTTGAAAGAAACTTCTATATATGCTTCTAAACAAAATGATTAAGTAACTGCTCCATAAAAGGACAAGCTGAACTATTGACAGCTAATAAACTAATATACTAGTTCATTAAAATAAAATCAAGACCACCACATTAACATAGCGTTTTATGATTTTTGATAATTTAATGACATGCTGGTCATATTATTGTTCAACATACAGATTTGTATTGATTACATCTGGTAATCAGAATGCGTGTACCTAATAATGACTTATAGCACCAGGCACTTCTCCGGCTACCTTAAGACACAGCCTTAATTCCATTACATAAATCTGTTTTTAAGTACTGGCAAAGTTGACTTCAATCGTTTCCATAAACTTTATGAAGATTGTTATTAAAGCTGGATGGTTTAGTGGAGGTGTTTGAAGAAATTCTGAAAATTTTTCTAATGGTGTCACATTAATACCAGGCTTATATAAATTCAATTTTCTACGTTTTATATATATTTAGCACTGCCAAACCTTCAACAAAATCTGTAAAGTATTTATTAAATATTTTTTAATTATATATTCGACTTCCACCAGCAAAACTTGACTTTACAACTTAATGTATCTATATAGTTATACACACACATATTGAATTCATAAATTTGCTTTAAGTAGGTTCAAGCCGTATATATAACATAAACATATATAAATTATAAAAAATATATAGAATTTTAATAAATTACATTGTTGAAATTTTAATTTGTTGGGAGATGTACAATATATACTACGTAATACCTATGTACTCTACTTTTTAATATTTATCCAACCACAAGGTTGAAATTTTAAAAAGTCATTTTATTTAAATTTGAAAAATATTTATTTTTAATCAAACTTTTAATGAAATAATGAAACTTTTGTATATTTTACATTTTACATTATTGATTTTAAAATTTTTGAAAATAATTAATTTTTTATATTTGTTTTCCTAGTCGTAGCATTTCTGTTCGGTTGAAAATAATCTTTAGTTTATTTGCAATTTTCTGTTGGCATTTTTAGTTCGTGTTTTATTGTTTGTATGAATTATTTTGGTGTTTGCTTAAGTAAAACTATTTTAATTACTTTTCTGTATAAATTAAAATTCTAGCAGGCATTTTAATTAAATATTTTCACACTTCACGTATCAATAGCACAAAAACGGTAAACTATTTGAACAACTTAAGCACTCATCACACAAGAATTTCAATTTCAGTCATTTTAAAGTGAAATTAAAAATATAGAAAAGACAGCTAATATTTTTCACAATAATTACAGATATGTACCATATACAATTGTGTACCAGATATAACTAAGGGGGACTCCTAATAATTTTTTTAGAGTTGTTTTATGTTTTTAAACAAAAACAAGAAACGTTACCTTTTCAGATTTGCTTGGACTGGACTGTCTTTCTACAAAGAAAATAGAGACAGCTCGAATTGGGTTATGTTATTATAAACGGAAGAGAGAACTTCAGAAATGTGATTTCTAGATAATATTGGAGAACTAAAGGAATTATTAATCTCTGATATACGTTGTGAGCAATCTAACATGGATAGAAAGTTACGATCATTTTCCTGGGTGCCACAGCTACAAAACTACCTAATCTTTCTATCAATTTTTTTGTTTTCGTAACGAAATTTTTGAAACATATTTATTATGAACAATGAGATGAGTTGTTATTTGCCCTGCTTCGAGAAAGTTTTTAATTTTTGATGGATTACTTAATATCCAAAACTTTTGTGTTAAATTGAAACATTTTGACACCAAATCAACCTAGAAAAGTTAATAATTAAATTTCTAGTAAGGAGAAAAAGGTATACAATTGGTAATTTAGATCTGACTTCTAATATGGAAAGTAAATTCGTAAATATAAGTGATTCACAGCTTTTTTTATTTGGAAAACAAAACACTTAGATAAATGTTATATAGTTATATGACAAATGGTCATGGCATTTTTATGCCTTTAATGATCATGAACCCATCTTATGCAGACAGTCAAATCACAACTGTTACGTACATACTATTGCTACTATTTTGATACTTTTTATTTCCAATTACGCACATATATATATATATAAATTTATATATATATATATGTAATTGCTATTCAAAGCTAGAAATTCTGGCATTTATTAGTAAACAACACTGTTCTGATGAGCGTGACAATTTACACAGAACTACCTCTCTGTATCCGAATTTGTGTTCTTACTTCCAAAGTCAAATTTTAAATGTACATTAAAAACAAAAACAACTACAAATTTGACGTTATCTAGGTTGAAATGTCAAGTTGTGTTATGATATAATCCCAGTAGATCCTTTAAATAAATTCTCAGCTAAATTTTAATCACTTCATTATTGTCACAAATAGTTACTTTAAAGTCACTTTAGTAACATATAAGATAATTTTCAGTTATTCATAACATGGGGTACATTTGGTTAGGTTGGAGTGGTGATCTTAATGTACTAAAGCTCACTTTAGGATAAACAATCTTTAATTAGCGGTTATCGTTGAACAAGGTTTGAAAATCAAGTCTAATAAAAGTGAACTAATCCATGTAAACAATAGAGTATAGTTGCTCTTTGTTTAGTACGCTCTAGGCCGGAGGCCGGAACGGAGAAGCTGTTTGAATGAAGTAATAGCACATATAATTTAATGTGTAAATAATATAAAAATAATATAGTTTGTCAAAATAATAAACAAATAAGAATTTAACTGAGAAATATTTAATTCTTATTTAACGAAAAATGCAGTAATAAAATATTGATCATATTAATAGTTAATATAATAGTGTTTTTTTTTTTTTGATAAAGAAGGTGGTTTTTCATCGTTCATATATTTTCTTTATGGAATAATTTTATTTCATAATTTTAGGAAATTTTTTTTAATTATTTAATGTTTTACTATATACGCTTAGCACTATTTAATATTTTCAAGTTGCCTTGCAAATTTTCATATACATATACAAATGCATATACATACATATATAAGATATATTTCTATAATTTAATATATATACATATATATATTATATATGCATATATATTATATATTTTTATATATGATTTGACACATACTTATGTAAGTATGTGTACATATATATGCATTGATATATATGATATTTTTAGAAACTATACATATTAATAATAGTTTTTCATCTCAAGTTTTGTTGATTTTTTATTTATGTTTATGTTTATGTTTTGTTTTTTTTATTGTTAAACTAAATTAATTTCAGAATTTTATACGCTTTTCATTTGTTGGCATTTTGAGCAACAAATTTTAATTGTTAATACTAAATTTCTTATGCATAAATTGTTAATACACGTACTTAATAATTTATTTAATTACATTGAATACACAATTAAAAACTTATACTAAAAATGCTTAAAAAATAATTAAATTTAATAATAATAAAAATTCAATTCATTTTCATTTTCATTTAATGCTTAAATGAAACGTCAACACATTTAAACTTTAGTTGAGCGCACACACACACGCAGACATAAACAGCACATTCAGTCGTTGAATTAAAATTTATAAATACAAATACAAATACAAATACAAATACAAATATAAATACAAATATAAATACTTTTCCATGTAGTTTGCCTTAGAACGAAAAGTTAAATATTTTCCATTATTTTCTATTTATTGTTAAGTTACTGGAAAAAATGTTCGTATTATTTAACTTAAAATAGTGGCTCGGCTCGCGGCTCCGTGGACCTGTGGCTTGGGAGCCGGAGTGAACCACGATTTTAGTGCAATTGTTGTGTTTCTTTGGCTTAAGTGTTAATCGGGGAGAGAAAATGCTTTAAAAATTTTCAACAATTTCCATTTTAAGATTCATATTTTCATATTTTCATTATAGTTTTTTTTTTACTTTTTGGTTTTATCAAAACGGAGTACCTAAATTTGCGGCGTTTTTGCACACAGTTTTTAATTAGTAAAATTTCCATAATATATATATTTTCTTTTATTTTTCATATATTTTTTTGTTAGTTTTTGCTAGTTTTTGCTTATCAATTGTTTTTTAATTTCGCTTAGTCAAATCATTTGTTTACTCTTAAATGCTAAAATTTTTCTAATATCTTGTTTTTTTCTTATTTTTCATTTTTGTAACTATTTGCCTTAATTTTAGTTTTTATTCAGTAGAAAATAATGGCGTTTGATGATTGTTAATTATGCTTATCCGTCTGTCTTTCATAAATATATTTCAATTATTTGTTATTCATTTCAAACTAGTACAATTGTTAGTTTTCTAATTATTTTCTTTACTAATTGTTTTTGTTTTTGTTTTTCAGTTTTTGTGTTAGTAAATTTTTATTATGAAAATTTTGTATCGTACCTGGATGGCTGAGTGAGTTGAGTCATTGATTAACTCATTTATGTGCTCTGCTCTTCTCCATAGTCACTCACTTCATTCGCTCTCCCACTCACTCCCATTTAATAACTTGCTATTCTCCTGCAATTCTATTTTGATCAATTGCTCTCCTAATTGTTGCATACGAGTATTTGTTGTGTTATTGTTCGCCGTTGCATTCTCGTTGTACAGGTATTATCCGCGATCATCATCGCGTGCGGCGAACAGGGTTCGCATCGAGCTGGTGATTAAATTCCACCAGCCCGCTGCGAACCCAAGTGGACGCTATAAGCTGTTTTCGCTACCCATTTTAAGAAGTTCGAATTTCTTTTTGGCAATTTTCGAATATAGTATATCGATTGGTTGTGATTGATCGTACAAACTAGGTGCTTGCAATATAATTAACGCTGTACCAACAACGCAAGCAATGGCAAATATCCATAGGAATAGACGATCCAGCACCATGGCAACATACTTCCAATCTTCTTCCACCTTTAATAAGTAAACAAAAAAATCAGTTATTTAAAAACAAAAATCAGTTATAAAAAACAAACCACATTTAAATAATGTGGTTAGAATAAATATTTATAAGAAACTATGAATTTTTGTCAATCTTCTTTTTGTTACATCCTATCTTATATTTTCTGTAGCATTCTATTTTCCTAACAAATGAGGTGTTATAGAAATCATGATAGCAGAAGTAAGAGCTTTATCTTGTTTATTGACATAAGTAATCATTACAACATATTTCATTTTGTTTTTTCGATTTAATTAAGAATTTATTCCGAAACGATTACAGTGGTTAGCATACGAAAAAATTTGAAAGACACGCTTTCCCCATTCATGTGACAGTGAATCAACCTGACAACTCTATAAACTTGAGAGAAGCTCCATAGATTTTGCATCTATGAGCTATGGAGTACACTCTCATCCCCATTCACAGAGCCACAAACCTGATAAAAGTCATTATAGGCTTGATCCAGTCTCATAACATATCTTCGTAGTATGAAGAGATCTATTAACACCAACACCGTAGTGCTGAGCAGGTTAGGCTTTACTTAAAGTAGTTGACTAGCACGTGTCTACTTTAGACTTGATCAGTATAAAGATCTGACAAGAGTCGTCAACTGCCCAAGTTAGTTTAATTAAATACTTGTAAGTTACTAAAAAGAACACAATAAAATTTCCTTTTTTAAAAATAACGAAAATATAATACAAACTCACAACTTTGATGATTATAGCTAATACTTTTTAATGGGAAATTTGAAGATATGGATTTAGAAGATAATTTGTAAATCGTTTGTATGAAAGCATAATGGTTAAACAACAAAAAACAATTGTTGAGTTTGGTGTAGCAAGTAAATTTTTAAGTTATTGACAATAATTCTATACTGCAAAGATAACCCTTTAACATTCATTATGATAATTACTGGAGTGTTTGCTGACCTTAATATGTTTAATAAAAAGTGTACATAAAAATTAATTTTCCCACAATAGCTAATTATGTACTTCCATTTACAGAATGACAAAAAAATATTAGTTTGTAACATATTGAGTTTAACTAAATTATGTGGGTAATTTGATTTCAGTTCCAAAAGTAACTCGTAATAATGCAGGCTTTAAGAGGATTCCGTGTTTTTTCTAGAAATAAACCTCCCAAGAAAATACATTTCTTATTTGTTTTTGGCAGGCGCATGATAATTATATTTAAAATGTTCGGTTTCAAGAACTACAAATATAACACAAGACTTAACAGATTGGAGGAAGGACACTACAATTTTTACTATAAGTGCTTAACTAATTTAATAAAAATCTTTTGCCTTTTTATACAATTCACACATGACGAATTTTCCTTCACTATATTTTATAATTGCTATCTAGATAGTGACTTTTGTGATAATGTCAAACTACAATACAAAACTCTACAATTTATTATAGTGGTGCAACGATCTATATCACTTCTCATATTTTATTATAAGTTTCATTCCACAGAACAAATGAAAATTGTCATATATATTTGTAACCAATTAATAAAGTCAAACGAAATTCTACATAAAAAAATCAATTTCGAAATAAAATATGAAGACTTCGGTATGATAGTTCTGATCAATATGAAGAAAGTCTTTCTATTTGCAGAATGTATATCATATTATCTATACATAATGTATGTGGCCATTTGGTATAAGTTTTTATTTGAAATAGTTTTTAAAACGATTCAAATGTATCACATTGTTCTGATAACACAGCAGAGAAATATTTCACGTTATGCACAGCTTATCTTAAAGGATGTGGAGTCTTCAAGGAATATCAAACATTGTCACCAGGAACTGAGAACTATTATACGTTTGACTGAGCACCTAGAGAAATGTCAGAGAATGTTTCTGGAAAATGTGAATTGGTTTAACTGGATTATGTTTTCGCATGTAGTTAGTTATATTTTCAATACTTATTTGGGTTTATACTGTCTAATATACGCTCACGATTATCTGAACATAATAAAAACGTTTTTCAGCTATATACCGTTTGTAGTTAATTATGGTATAAATATGTTAATTCTTACTAGTCAAAACGACCAATTCAAAGAGGCACATAAATACACAAAGGATTTGATTTACATAATATCCACAAAACTGGAAAAGTATTCCGATAAAACAAAATCGTATGCTGAATGTCAATATATGGCAAGTCGATATATAAATAATTTTATATTTAATTCATCTAATTATCAAAAATTACAATTTTAGGTTCAACATTATTCATTGGGTTGTTTAATTAATTTCAACTACTCGCTTACGCTACTTGATAATCTGAACTTAAATCGAGAATTCGTATTCGACTTCATAATAACAGTGATTCTTTACGCTCTCTCCTGTCTGCAATATAACAATAACCTTATGTCCGAATATGGAGAATGCTTTTTGTGATTATTATAATTTTTTTATTTTTAATTTTTTTTTATAGATTTATATAATTTCTTACAGTATATTAGATTCAAATAACTTCACTAAAAGTCATTTCTTGTTCAAACTTACAGATTAATAAAAATAATTCAGTACATTTCCACATATTAGACTCTGTCAGATGATATGTATTTTTAAAATTTAATAATTAATTAATAAGGAAATAATTGCTTTATCTACAAAAATGAACATCTATCTATCAGTTCATCTATCAGTTCAGATTCACATTGCATGCCTTTTTGATCAACATCGAACATAAGAAGATTTCTTTAAAATAAAATTTGGATATAAAAAAATCGTATATCACATAAGACAAAATTGGCTGTAAGTTTGTTAGTTTTTCTTTAATTAAGTATTTGCATTTGTATTGTTAATTTTTGTTCTTTAATGTTCTTTTAAAATATCAAACTTCAACTCAACTCAAAAACTTAATACATTACGTAGGGTGTATCAACAAAAGTGTGTGTGTGCGTGTGTGTCAATACGTACACACGAAATTAAAAAAAATTTATATATACTAGTATTCAGCGAATAATGGGAATTCAACATTTAATAACGAGTTTATTTGATCTGCAATTTTAATTTCTGAAATTAACAATAACGACGAATGTAAGTTTATTGAACTCTATTCGACATTTGTAGAAGACCTGTTCGGTGTAAATAACTGAACTAAATACGGGTTCCATTTGGAACCAATAACGGAACCAACAACAATAGCAATAACGATCATGCACTGGAGAAACAAAATCTACTTGAACACTAGAGATCCAAACAAGCATGTGGTAGGCAAGAAGATTCATTGATCCTGAACACATCCAAATTGACGCTATCCTAAACATTACCAGAACAATATTCAACTCTACACTAAACTTCTTACAGGACACTGTAAACTCAATCACCACATGAAGAATTTAGTTGCGGTTTATAAGTGATTCCTGTCCACTCTCTCATGAGGAGTAGCAAATATTAGGACATATTTTATGCAACTGCCAAGATTACGAGATTTATAAATAGTCTAGAATTGTTTTAGTTGGGCTTTTAGGCGTACAATAGCTCTTTTAGGTCGGGGTGCATACATAGCCTATTATTTAATAATAATAATAATAACGATCTTGCATATACACGTAGAAATCAAACTTTTTATTTTATTTTTAGTTAAGGGGAAAGAAAGCAGCAGTGGAAATAACAAAAATATATTACGCAAAAAATATACAAAAATATATACATTTTGACTTCACATGTTGACGAAGGTCTTCATATTCCTTCATTTTATTAACAGCGAGTAGTAGCCAGAACAACAACAACTGTTTTACAAACTTGACTGATAAAAATGCTCGCTTTTACGTTGAGAGTATGAAGCTTTGTACGTGTGATATTTGTGATATTTATGGTAGCAGTTAGTAAGGACTTTAACCTGTTTTTTTCTTGATCTACCCACAAAATATTAAGAAATGTGTTACATTCGACACTGTTCCAATGCACAACTTTCAATTACAAAAAAAGAAAAATAGACGAATATGTTTAATACTGTGGTTTTTCTTATGTGGAAGCAGGGTTTGTATTTGCTCACTTATGAGAAACTCAGGCTCATGAGCAAGAACCAATTATTGCGTGAGCACAAAATTTGCTCATGAGCTTGAGCTCAAAATTTACTCATGTGCGTGAGCCCAAAATTCGCTTATATTGAAGAGCTGCTCATCAGCGCTAGCGTTCAATTTGCTCATATTGAGGAACTGCTCGTGAGATGTCACGAGCCAAGAGCTCAACTAAGAAGCCGGTTTACTGGAAATAGTTATTTATTACATTTAAGGCATATAAAATTGATTACACTTGTTTTTCTAAGCAATTAGTTTATTACGTTCACAAAAAACCTTAAAAAACTTAAAACACTTGATTTAAAATAAAACGATTAATTAAGTAAACACAGAAAATTAAAAAAAATAGTGGTACGTGCCAAATTGTGCAACGAAAACAACAACAACAATGTCATATATTCTTCGTTTTCTAGCATGCAGCACTTTCTTGTAAGCAGCGCATGAGTCTCATGAGCCTCAGCTCGTACTCTTGCTCACAAGCGTGAGTCAATGTATAACGTAATGGCGGCTCTTGCTTATGAGCGTGAGCTCTGCAATTTGGCTCGCTCGTAAGCGTCAGCAATCGTTTGAAAAGAGTTGCTTGCCTGCTTATGAGCTGTGAGTATAATGAGCTGAAAAGAACCACTCATGGGTACGCAAATACGAGCTCTGAGTAGATGTACCTATATATACTCTGCCCATGTTATAAAAAATCGTACAAATAAATAGACTGTACTCGAAAGGACATTTAAGAAAAAGCTATAAAGAGCGTAATAAGAAGAAAGGCAAAAAGAAATTAAAAGGAATAAAATAAAAAGAAATTAAATAAAATATTAAATATTTGCAATGTTAGAAATGTATATACACAGTATTGTGCAATATGAAGATACGCAATATCTGCTATCGATTAAGAAAAACTTGATCAATATATGATATAAATTTGTGACTGTGACGTAGTAGCTTAATTTGATAATTAGCTTCAGTATTTTGCAGCGATACATGGCGCGTTCTAATTTTAAGCTAATTGTTTTTATAATGAAATTTGTTATTCGACTGTTATTCGACTGCGTAGAACACTCCATTCTTATATACATGTTAGTATGCCTACAAAGAAATAATTATCAACATATGTAGCCACATAAGTAGGTATAACTATATTATATGCAACGCTAAAATATCAATGACTATCCATAAGCAAAAATTTCCAAAATAAACTCCGACTTTTCTTTTAGGTGAAGCAGAATTTGAATGTGAAAATATGATTTTGTGACCGGATGGTTAGAATCAGTTCGATGCTGTTATTATGATCTTTTACTAAACAATTGTGACCTGACGTCACTGATATAGATAATATTTGGATTTAATTAAATTGAATACGACCTGTTCCGAATGCTACTTTTTAACTATTTTTCTGCTTATAAATGAAATTTATAAGTTAAAATTACACCTAATTTTATAGTTGAGAATGTAATAAAATAAAGTCTTTTTAGAAAATTATTTTTATTAAAAAATGGTAAAAAATATTAGTTAATTTGTACTCTTTTTTCATATTATATACTTAAAAAGAACAAAAGTTTTATGGCATGTAGTACTATATGTGTTGAATATAGTCAAAAGATGTTATGTGGTTAATAAATTTAAATTTTATTTAGTAAACTAACAAAAGCTCCTATCTGTACGAGTTAGATATATTGAATTTGTAAATTACGTTTCAAATTATTTAATGTAATTCTATACTGTAAAGATAACTCTTTAATATAAATTATGTTAATTACTTAATTACTGAAGTGTTTGTTGACCTTAATACGTTTAATAAAAAGTGTACATAAAAATTAATTTTCCCACAATAGCTAATTATGTACTTCCATTTACAGAATGACAAAAAAATATTAGTTTGTAACATATTGAGTTTAACTAAATTATGTGGGTAATTTGATTTCAGTTCCAAAAGTAACTCGTAATAATGCAGGCTTTAAGAGGATTCCGTGTTTTTTCTAGAAATAAACCTCCCAAGAAAATACATTTCTTATTTGTTTTTGGCAGGCGCATGATAATTATATTTAAAATGTTCGGTTTCAAGAACTACAAATATAACACAAGACTTAACAGATTGGAGGAAGGACACTACAATTTTTACTATAAGTGCTTAACTAATTTAATAAAAATCTTTTGCCTTTTTATACAATTCACACATGACGAATTTTCCTTCACTATATTTTATAATTGCTATCTAGATAGTGACTTTTGTGATAATGTCAAACTACAATACAAAACTCTACAATTTATTATAGTGGTGCAACGATCTATATCACTTCTCATATTTTATTATAAGTTTCATTCCACAGAACAAATGAAAATTGTCATATATATTTGTAACCAATTAATAAAGTCAAACGAAATTCTACATAAAAAAATCAATTTCGAAATAAAATATGAAGACTTCGGTATGATAGTTCTGATCAATATGAAGAAAGTCTTTCTATTTGCAGAATGTATATCATATTATCTATACATAATGTATGTGGCCATTTGGTATAAGTTTTTATTTGAAATAGTTTTTAAAACGATTCAAATGTATCACATTGTTCTGATAACACAGCAGAGAAATATTTCACGTTATGCACAGCTTATCTTAAAGGATGTGGAGTCTTCAAGGAATATCAAACATTGTCACCAGGAACTGAGAACTATTATACGTTTGACTGAGCACCTAGAGAAATGTCAGAGAATGTTTCTGGAAAATGTGAATTGGTTTAACTGGATTATGTTTTCGCATGTAGTTAGTTATATTTTCAATACTTATTTGAGTTTATACTGTCTAATCTACGCTCACGATTATCAGAGCATAATAAAAACGTTGATCAGGTATATACCGTTTGTAGTTAATTATGGCATAAATATGTTCATTATTACTAGTCAAAACGTTCAATTTGAAGAAGCACGTAAATACACAAAGGTTTTGATTTACATAATATTCACAAAACTGGAAAAGTATTCCGATAAAACAAAATCGTTTGTTGAATGTCAATATATGGTAAAGCGATATATAAATAATTTTATATTTAATTCATCTAATTATCAAAATTTACAATTTTAGGTTCAACATTATTCATTAGGTTGTTTAATTGATTCCAACTACTCGCTTACGCTACTTGATAATCTAAATTTTAATCGAGAATTCGTATTCGATTTCATAATAACAGTGATTCTTTACGCTCTGTCCTTTCTTCAATATAACAATACCCTGTTATCCCAATATGGAGGATGCTTTTCATGATTATTGTAATACTTTTTTATTTTTAATTATTTATTTTAAAAATGTACTGAATGTATATATTGCATTATTGACGGTTAATAAAAAATGTATGTAAAAAATATATAATTTGTTAGAGTATAAAATTGAAATCAATTTACTTTAAATTAATATTTTGTACTTAATTTAAGTTGCATAGAGAGCAGATTATAAAGTTGTTCTTACTTAACCATCAATTTTCATTTAGTTGCTTTAGGCTTTAATAATCAGAGACATGTTTTTTCAGTGGATGAGTCTTGCTTCAATAAGTCTTGCTTCAATAAGTTTCGCCTCCAAGATAACAGAGCTTCCAGTAAATATTGTGTTTACTGCTTTTGGCATAGTTTTGTAATTTTTTTGCTAAAAGAAATTTTTTGTTAAGATATACCCTCTTCTAGTCCTTTTTCCAGTACAAGAATAATATTTAGTGGAAGTATTCGGGAAATATTCATATATTCAAACCTTGCTATTTTAACCAAACCATGGAAACAATATTTTACTTTAAGTTTGTTTCAACTCACATATATTTCAATATATGTATATATAATATGTATAATATGTTGATATAAATGAATATTTTCCACGATATTTACTAAAGTAATTCTATCAGATAATAAAATATATTATATATACTTTAGTAAATAATGTAAATTCAGTTTTCATTATCCAGTTAATTTGATCTAAAATTTGAGTTGATGAGATTTATTTAACGATTGTTTGTTTTTCTAAATACTCTACTAGGCGTCTTTAAAACGCCTAAAAAATTAACACGGAAATTTATTCAACTTTTGCAGAAGATTATTCATTGTAAAAAATTGAATTAAAAAATGGGTTCCATTGACTCCAACGCCTATCAATAACGCTACCAATAAGGAGAAAGAAAGAAGAAATAAAAATAACAAAAACAGGAGATTCTATACAGAGAACATATAACATTTTGACGCCACATACTGACGAAGTTCTTCGTATTATTTTGCTTAAATAACAGCGAGTAGAAGGAATAACAAGAACAACCGTTTTACAAATTTCACTGTAAAATGTAACCTGGTTTTTGCGTTTCCTACCCACAAAATATTAAAAAAAATCCACAAATATATTTATACACACACATATGTTATGTGGATAATAAATTTACAATACATGTTATAAAGCCGTATTTTTTTTCTTTCAGAGTTGTAAAAAACAGCATTAAGTCTGGTTAAAACAAATTGGCATCACTTCTTAAATATGTCCAATGATTTTTTTGAGACATGTTTTTTGTTGTATAGTGTACAATTTGAAATATAATAATTATAAATACTAAAAATTAATTAATTTAAATGAAAAAACAAAATGAAAATGAGTATTTGTAGATTACTTGACAAATTAATCATTATTGATAGTAATGAACTAGAAACCTTTACTCCTGAAGCAGTCGAAGGACATATTCATGCGCTCATACAACTAAACTACTTGTATTTTAAGAGGATTTAAAATCAATCTCTAAATTATGAACTAAAAATATTTCAAGAGCTGCCACTTAACATTTGCAAATTAATGTGAATATCAAAAATTAACTTTATTTGCATTAAAGTAAAAACCAAAGAAGGAGAAAAAAGTGGCAGCATACAATCAGTAGATTTTCCAAAATATTTTTTGCTGTCATCGATTGGAAGCAGGAAAAAGGTTGATGAGCCTCATTATACCGTAGCTTTATGACATTGATATGGGAACTCACAATTTGAACCACTTGGAACCATACAGTTTTACGCTCTTTTGATCTTCATTTGCTGGTTCAATAAATTCACTTTTATTTTTTATGCCACAATGCACTTTTTGATTTTTGCACCTTGATTAGAACCAATTTTACATACATACATACAGGCCCGCACTAATATGGGTATATATATAAGTGCACCCAAATGCTCATATATAAGTACACAACCACTTACTTAAAAATATGTTGGAAAATGTAAGAGTTGGCATAATCAGGCCATGCACCAGCAGTTAATGCGGGTTATCAAGTGTATTTGCAGAGGAAAAAATAGAATAGAATGTAGTTGGCAGCACTGACAGATGATGAATGTCTTCGATGCCTGAGGAATTTTTTTTATCAGTTTGTTTTTCTAATTTATTTTTTTGCTTTTTTTGAATTTTGTTTGATTGAATACATGAAATTAATCTAAATTTTACCTAAATTCAATCATTTAAAGCATCCGAAGTGAAATAAATATAATAGTATTGAATAAAGTGTTAACAAACGAACATGTTAATTTTGGATTTTTTTATAAATAAAGTTTGAAAATATGTGCAATATTTTTTCTACTAAATAAAAATGTATTAATACAAATTCAAATAAAATACTTACACTTTCAAATTTATCTTTATTTTTCACATGTTGCGCTATAAATCTTGATCCTTCTATTGTCTTCTCCATTTCGCGCATATACGGCTTATCAAATGTGGGACTTAGATCTGCTTGGCAACAGCCTGGACTTAAATCGCCATTGCCCGATGGACTAAATAGGTCATCGTCTGCTCCAGGTAGTGGCAGTGCTGAGGGCAGGGGTGGATCACCAAAGCAGGGCGCTACGCCCCCTGCTGCGGCCAGATCAAAACGATGCGCAGGTAAAGCTAAAAGGATGAAACGTGATTTATGCATTGATTATTCATTATTATTTTGATTATAATAACTAAAAGAAGAAGAAAAAAGTTTTACGTCAACTCTTTTTCAATTTTCAATGTTATGGCACACGAGCTTTGGAGCAATAGAACATTTTTCGGACAAACTTTTAAAAACAAATGTTGAGAAATTCCTGCTTTACTAGAGTTTTGACAGCTAAGACGGTTTAATTCCTGACACTTGCAGTTCAAGATTTCTATTCGGACAGTTCCACCAACAGATTTTTCCAAAAGCATACTGATGGACTTGATTAAAAATCAGAAAATTGTATTGCATTTGAAAATGGCATTACAAAAGAAAGTAACTCTTCTATTCGTAAAAGATTTCTTGTCATAAAGAACAAATACTGATTTTATTAAGAAACAACCAAAAGAATATCTTAAATCATTTTCTTGGACTAGCGGAACTTCATACTGGAAACCAATAAATATAAAATAATATGATCAATAATATGACCACAATCTATTGTAAAGAAAATTGTCCGAGTAGAGTTGGGGGGATGCAGCGAAACTTATTTATTGATCAATAAATACCAATAAATACGTATTTATTGTAAAAATACGTATTTCTTTTAACTAGAATGAATGACATCCTCAGGGACATCAAGCTTGATCCCATCAAAAAATACATAAAGGACAGAGCCCTGAAATTATTTGCGAAAACTGACAGACATACCAACACCGCGTTATCAAATCTCAAAATGGTTACAGGCTTCTCGGTGTGGTATGCAGATCTGAGGTCAATTAATGCTTAGTCTTATGAAGTGATAAACAATAATCTAGTCAAGGTGTAAAGAGGGGGTTTGAAAATACCTCGAGTTAAGAAAGAGTAAAAGTTCTTAAGTGCACTAGCTCAAAACAGCTTCAACATAATAATTAAACTAGAATTACAGAATACGTGGCAAGGAAGAATAAAAAAAGACAACTAAATCTTTTCTGCGTAAATGTTCAAGTGTTCCAAAAATAAAAAAAATTCAACTATGAACTGTTTGGAATGTAATGTTCATCACATACTAATGGGCCATGCTAATGTCTTAAATAAGATAATAAATAAAAATTTAGCTAGTTATAAAAAATTAAGAGTTTCTTTACTGTATATGATGCTTCTAAATACATTTTTGAAATATATGAGCGAACAGTACTATTGGAGATTTATTTAGAACTTGAGACAGAAGCTGATAAGTAATTAATTTTGTAAAATTTAGAAAAAAATGTTATTTAAAGCACTTCCCCCCTTGGTAAGGAGTGAGGTCCATGCAACCTCGGTTGATCTTTGGTTCATAGAACCCGGTGTAAAAACGCAACTCAATTGGTTAGGATAGCTGAAGCTGCCTGCACTGATCCCCGTGGTACCAGATACACATTTTTGGTCAAGTGACCAGATGGTGCCGGAGTTTTAGTCTGTTTACCAAACCTCTCTTTATAAAAGAATATAAAGGATATTGAAATAAAACATATTTATATTTTATGAGAGAATATATAACCTCTTCATATAAGATATTTTTAAATTTAGAAGACTTTCACGGATCACCACTAAACTTAAAAGTTCCATGCGGAATGGATATTTTTATCTCGCAGTTATATTGAATTTAATTTGAATTTGTATTGAATTATACAACCTTTTCTTGAGAAATAGTAGGTTTTATTGTAACCTAAAGGTATTTACTTTAAATAACTGATGACTACATTGCTGTGTCGTCTATATGGGAAGTTAAAAAGGAAGTATTAGAGATATAATAGACGGCAACTGACTTTCTATTATGTCATATAAGATAATTGAGGTTTCAAATATACGTCTTACCATTTTTACAATTATAATAATTTTAGGATGTCTGAAGTATAGATACATGAATCTTGGCTACATAATAAAATCTAAAATATGAATTTGTTATTTATATATATATCTATATACTCGTTTTTACCCTTTTCAATACCAAAATTCAACTGGTTAGGATAATTTTAGGATGTGTCTGAAGTATAAATTTATGATTCTTCGCTACATAATGGAACCTAGTAGATGAATTTATATGCATATATTAAATATATTAATTTATACGTTATTAATTTATATATATATATATATCTTTACCTCTTTTAATACTAAAATTCAACTGATTGTTCTGTCTATATGCCTATGTTATTGTAAGCATAATACAAATACATTCATTCCTTATGATACATTTCTTTTATGGTTCTGAACAAATTTTGCAAGAAGATATATTGTGTAATAATAGCTGAACTGATTTTGTAAGTCATATTATCTTTGTTTTATTTAAATTTTTGTACATTATTTAAATTTTTAAGTTATTTTTAATTTTGAAGTTTTAAGGAATGAGTTAAATACTTCCGTTTAATAATTTCACGCTTTCAAAATTTGTAACTTTGAATTATTTGTGTATGAAATGTAAATTTTTGTTGTAAAAACTATAACGTTAAAGATTAATTAGTGCGTAAAGTGTAAAAAAAATTATGTTAATTTTTTTCAAATCCAATATTTTTATTTTGATCTCCACAGGCGGTGTTGCGTAATTCAAAAGGAAAGCTCTCAACTTAACAAGATACTGACGCTTCAGATTACACTTGTTAATAGCAACTTAACACAGCATCAGTTGCATTAGGGCATAACTTTGATTGCAACAAAAGTTAACTGCAAGAAAGAAAGAAAAAGGACTAAGGACTAAGACATTTGCAGAAGAAACTCATTCATCTTTTATCTTTTCTAGTGCTTTAATTGTGCACGAACGCAAACTCGAATGCCAGTAACTTTTCAAGAGTTTCGCTGCACCGTTATTTAAAGTCAAATGTTGGCAGCGTCTTCGGAAACACCCAAACGCCCATTTAAAAGTTGAAATTTTGAAAATTTTTTTCTTCTCGTTTTACACATCTACGCTTTATCTACTTTGCAAAATCAAAAATCCGTCTACTTTAATAATTCTTCGTTGTTCCTATTGGACTTTCCTGCTTTCTTTGCAACTCCGTAAATTGAGATTTTTTTCACATTTTTTTGTTGTTTTTGTTTTTTTTGTAAAAGTTTTCCTTCCACTACTAGCTATATTTTTCAAATTTTTTATTTTCATTATATATAGTTTAATTTTTTTCTTTTGGAACTGCTACTTGCTTGTAAGCATAAATTTTAACAAGTCTTTTAGTTGAATTAAGTTGGCAGCACTGACAAAGTTTTGCAATACTTCATTGTGTAGCACTGGAAAGTCATTGAGAGAAATTACTGCAAATTTACATAGCTTTGAGGAATTTGAAACGAAATCTCTTTTAATGCAAATCTTGATTAAAATGTTAAATCGAAAAGTTTTTATTAAAATTTTAGCATAAAAATAAATTGCTTTATATGAAGTTTCTAAGCAGATTCATAAATAAACGATTCTGAAATTAGGAGAAAAAAATGGTGTTTGCGAGAACTCACCCGGTATTCCATAATCGCCGCTAAAACGTTTCGTGTCGTAATTCACAAATTTATCTACGTCAGGCGGCAGATGAAAAACATCTGTCAGCACCTCAGGCGGCTGCTCTTCCTCGCTGCCATCGTCCTTCTTTGGTCGTTCGATGCATAACAGTTTCGGCAGAATTTGTATAAAAAGACGCTGCACCCACGGTGCCATTTTATGCGTCACAGGAGATCTAAAAACGTTAACGGTGAATAATAACACAAGATAAACAATTAGCATCTTAAAATCATATAAAATGAAGGAAAAACTTAATTAGAGCTTAATTATTTTATATAAGGTTAAATTTGTTTTTTAAACTTTAAATTCACTTTTATTTAATTTTTTAATATATTACAAAAATTTTAAAATGGAAATATTTTAAAATGTACGGAATAGCTCTAAGCTAATAAACGTGGTCGTTGTAAGGGGGCGGTATCATTACAACTTCCATAGAACTGGCATTAGTTAAAAATATTACCATTCAAAATGTCAGGCAAAAGCTTTAAGTTATTTAAATTGCTTCTTAAAGGAGGTTTTGAATTATCATCCCTATTGCGTGACTGGAAAATAGGACGATTTGAGGGATTGCCCTAAGCTAAAGGGAACAGTTTGTATTAAGAAACTACTGTTGAAATGATTATCATCATAGTAGTCAAAAATTAGTTACAACTAGAATACACAAAAGTCATGACTGAAAAATAGAACGATTTAAGAGATTGCCCTAAGCTAAAAAGAACAGTTTGTGTGAAGAAACTATTGTTGAAATGATTATCATCATAGTAGTCAAAAATTAGTTACAACTAGAATACACAAAAGTCATGACTGGAAAATAGAACGATTTAAGAGATTGCCCTAAGCTAAAAAGAACAGTTTGTGTGAAGAAACTATTGTTCAAATGATTATCATCATAATAGTCAAAAATTAGTTACAGCTCGAGTACTCAAAAGTCATAAATTAATAATGATATAAAGGGACTTGTGTGATAATGGTAATCACACTGATTTTAATTGGTCTGTTGACAATTTTGTTCTGCACAAAGCCAGAACTAGGGAGCTTTTATTACTGAATAGAAAATATATTCGACTTGTTACATTGCGGAGTAAAAAAACGTATATGGAACATAGGTATTACTGGAGACATTGTTACGAAGAACAAGAAACAACACTGTGTCACTGTGTGGTCTCGCCAGACTCAGACTTCGGTACTTATCAACTGTCTATCCACTTACAACTGCATTAGGCAACATCTCTCCAAAGGACATAATGACATTTTTAACTGCTACTTCGTCTATGGAACTAAAGTGGGTTTGTCACAATAATCATTAAAGGACGCAGTGACGTGGTGTAAAGTTCTCAACCCGATTAAAATCTAATCTAATTTAAGGTCACAAAGAAGTTATTTGTAATAACACATAGAAGTTTTATAGTGCGCTATTTAATTTCTTGAATAGATATTCATCTAGTTTGGATAAGATAATCACTGTTTGGTTTTACTTTCACATACAATATCTTTTGCTTATTGGTGAATTTAAGAAATTCTGATAAGTACAAAAAAAAAATATGCCATAAGCAAACCATCTCCAGAAAATCAGTACAGTTTAGGTTTGATAATGTCATCCCACAAAAATGTTTTAGAAAATGGTAACTGAAAAATATTATAGGAAGAGTTTTGCTTCTACATTTTTGATCTTAAGAAATGGTCTCGATATCAAACAGAATATGTATGTTTGCTAAGTGAAGAAATATTCGACAAAGATATTCTGTATATATATTGGACAAGGAAACACTGTGTCGGTATGATTTAACAAACCATATCCTTAATTTGGACTTTGGACATACATAAAGCGTCACTATCGGACGCTTTGTATTCACTATTATTTCTCTAAACATAGTCGAATAAAATTTGTGTTAAATTTTGATACTTGATACTTTTCCGATTATCTACTATACCAATTTTGTTAATAATTTTTATTAATAATTTTTGAAAAATTTATAAAGTTATTTATAAAAAAGTGGACTTACCTAAAATTTACATTCAGCACCGCAATCGTCACAACAACTGACAGCGTAACCAGCATCATAGTAAATAGCAGGTATTTTCCTAGCAGCGGTACCGTTAGTGATGTCGGCGGTATAATTTCGGCGAGCAGCAGAAAAAACACAGTCAACGATAGCAAAATACTTATACAGAGTGAAATTTTTTCACCTGAATCGCTTGGCAGATAAAATACCAAAACCGATAAGAATGAAATACCCACGCATGGAATGATCAGATTGACAGTATAGAAAAGGGTCTTGCGTCGTAATGTTAAATTAAAAACAATATCTAAATATGGTTCCTCGCAACAACTGTAAAATTTCTCATTACGTACAGCGGGCACTCGCATTATATCCCATTCTACGGATATATAATAATCTTGTAGGTCGATGCCAACTTCGATGTTATCCGAATCGGCAGTTTGTTTTAAATGGCGCAGATCAACCTGCAAAGGAAAAAAAAAATAAATTAAATAAAATAATTTTCATAATATATATATAGGTAATAAAAATTGAGCTTGATAATATACTTTCAGATCACAGTTTAATATAATTTAATGCAAAAGCTCGAGAGAAGATTGCGAAACAATTCTATGGAAAGGCGATATAATGCTAAATAGTTTCAAAAGCAATCAGAATAATATAATAGAATGGAATAGAATAAAAGGTTGCTAATCGAAAAAAAAATCAAACATACGTTGAGGATCTAATCAGCAATATGACATTCCCGTCCAACAATAAAGCAGCGATAACTTTACCGGCTATCAACATAGTCTTTGCTTCTAAGACCTTTCATTTCTTTTGTTAAAATGCCTTCAATATTTGGTTCAACAATAAGGCATATGCGTGAAAAATCCATAAAATTTGGTTAAACCGTTTAAATAAGGTCAACAAATGCAAATTGACGACTCCGGAGAAAATTTTCGTATAAGTTTCAATCTTGATAAAAATTTTTCCAAATATTATTAAGAGAAATTCTTATAGTTTCAGCAAGCCTTTTAATTGTTTCTTAAGGAAAATTAAACACTATTTGATGAATAGTGTTGTATATTTCTTGGTCAATAGCAACTCTTTTTGGTTACCATTGATAGCTTTAAAAAGTTTCTTGCTATTGTATATAGAAGCGTTGAATTCATCAAATATCTATTAAATTTACAATGAAGTATTATATTTCAAGTGGACAATTTCAATCCAGAGTAAAACTGTTTATTTCTGAGCACTTGCGTCGGTCAATTACAAAAATATATATGATATTTTGAATAATTTAAACAGTATTGTTCATAAACTGAATATAATATTTTTTGCCAGATGATGATGCATGTTTCTCATTGAGTAGTTTACTGTTCTACTGTAATAAGGCGGGTCTAGTCTTTGTATTCACTTGTTTGTGCTCCATCAGATTAGTACCTGATCAAAGTACCTCTGTTTTGTCTACATAATACCATAAGTCATCCAACAGAATGAGAAAACAATCAGGACATCTGTAATAATTATGTCATGAATGTTAGATATCTAGTTCAAAACATAAACAGAAACTGTTCTATATATATATATGTTCATTGGAGATATCTAGTAGAAAATTTAATATTATAATAGAGAATAATAAGTTTCTTATATAAAATTTCTTGAAATATTCTTTGTAATGTCCTTAAGTAATCTTGCAGCTTTTTCTTGTTATTAGAGTTCATAAATAGAACTTGCACATTCTGTGAATCTTTGAATTTATTTAAGTTCAAAATAAGTGTCCATTATAACTCATTTCTTGACCCTAAAACATTTCTTACGATATCGAGTGATTTCATTACAGCGTCGTAGAAGCACAACTTCATCATTAAGCATCGCCAACAGTCTTGCAACTCAAGTAAATCAAATTTACGAATACTTATATTTTTTATGGTTGACTGTACAGTGCAACAGCCATCAATATGAGGACGAACACAATCACACACACATACGTGGAACACTTTATATATATCATGTTATAATGGTTTTTATTGCTTTGGTTTGTTTTTGTTGGGCTTGTGTGAGCACGTCTAGCATAGCATTTTAATGTGCCATCGGTCATTTTGCGCGTCATCAAACTTGTTGCGTTTCAACGAAAACAATACCAAAGACAGCATAAATTTTAAACACACATAAGCCATAATAACTCCAGCAACAAAGGCAGAGCACAACGACACCAGAGTGGCAGCGATAAAGCCTTGCAATCAAATTTCAACTGCATGGCCGAATCATTAAAATTAACAACCAACAACAACGATGACGACACCGTCGAGGGTGACGGAGCAATATACTACGTTCAACCAACACAAACTTTATTTGAACATTTTGGTAGAAGGATCCAAACCAATGGTAAGTATGCTTGTGTGTGTGTGTGTGTGTAAAAGTTCGCTTGTGTGTTGATATATTTGCGCTATTGTGCTGTTAAAACTGCAATAAAATGGTACGCCATAGCGTATACTCAACGTATGAAAATTATGACATGGCGATAATTTTTACTCTGACGATAATCATTATTCACAAGCACTTTTCATCTAGCAACGCAACTGACCACTGTGTTGCGTTCTTTGTGGGGGAGGGATGCCTGTGATAATATGGGTTTGTGGATTTGGTTGAGCTTTTCTTGTTGAGTAAAGTTGTGTAAAGTGTGTGCACTGTACCCAGAATATGGCAAAGTGCGGGCTTGTTACTTTAATGCAGCTGTGCTCAGTGGCTGTGCTCAGTGGCTGTGTTAAACAGCGGCTATGTATTATGAGAGATTTTAATAAGTACAGTACGGAAAAACGAATAAAATACTAAAAAGGGAAAATAAAATATTTTTACACTTGCAGTAACATAAATTATAAACTTATGAATACTTAAAAAAGGAAGTTGTGTGAATAATAGTTTTATGAGCCAGGTGAAATATTAGTAAAATAGTTTTTAGAATTCTAAATGAGTTTAGAGGAAATAAGCTAATTAATTATTTAAATTGCATATTAAGTAGAGCAGAAAAAGTGGCTACATAATGGCTGCATAATAAGCCAAAGTCACTTGTATTAAGAGGAGATAATTTCAAATTGATATGCGTTTAGTTAAGTTCCTCTTTACGTAGATATGGTAAAAAGAGTTAATCTAAAATAGAAGAACTTAAGGATATTTAAATACTTATATACCCTTATATAAAAATACTGTTAATAAAGCGCATGTTATCTGAAGTGCTAGGCAATACAAAATACATAGCTGTCCGTTGAAACTGCAGTGGGTATAACTTTTGAACTGGAAATAGCACTGCGTCTAAATAACGTCTAAATATAGTTGATTTTATTTCTAAAATGTTTGTATGAGTATGCGTACGTCATATCGTCACACTAAATATCATTATACTAAATTTTGTCGTACTAAATAGTGCCACATTAAATATTGCCACTTGAAATATCGCGACACTAAATACCGTTTTACTAAATAACGTCACAACAAACAATCAAAAACCACAAGTGCTTATTGAACACCTCAATCTAATCTAACTTATCCTGAATCATAGCAAGTACGTTGGCAAACTCTATGGTTTTAGGTAAATAAAACTACACTTGCGACGAAAGCTATTCGTCAATTTAAGTTAAGTATCACTTTAAAGAATAAATGTATGCTCAACTGATCACTTTGAAAATTATTAATGTGATGATTATCAAAGAAGAACATAAGGTAATGCATTGCATGAGTCGAAAAGTTAATCAATATTTAAAGGAAAGCTTGAATTGTTTTTAATAGCTCAAATAAACGAAAAAAAATGGTGCCCTGTTGAACATATTGCCAATATATAAATTATTTAATTTAAAGATAATATAAAAGTAAAATTTACTATAAATGCATATATAAATATATACATATGCGCAGCTTGCTATGACGACATGAAGACATGAGGTCTGAGACTGTTATATTAGCCGTCGATGTTGAGCGGTCTTTTGTCGAAAAGCGGAAAAATCAATTTGAACGAGATGTGTTTAGAACTCTTTGTGTGCTTTGGAGATGATTTTGTTAAACTTTACTGTCTTCTAGCTCCACATTTATGCAGGGTGCAGACCATATATTGTCGCACGGCATGAATAAAATTGTTGTTGTTTTCAATGTAAATTATATTATAAAATTGAGATTGAGAGAAAAAACAATAGGTTGATTCAAATTCCGGCATGAGAGCCGGCATATTTATGCCTCGGCACTAAAGCAAAACAGTGTTGTTTAGTAATAAATTTAAGAATTTGTGTCTTTTAGGAGCAAATTTACCCAATGTCAGTACGTTTTAGAGAAAAAATGTCTGTAAGCAATACATTCTATTTTATAATAGAATTTATAGTAGAATAATTATAATAGAATTTTAATACGTTTTGAAAAATAAAATGTCAGGAAGCAATACAGTCTATTTTATAAACGGTTAATAATCTAATTATTACATTTTCCGCCTTTAAGGAAAGGCGTATAATTTTGTACGTACTGTTAACAATTATTATAAGATAATATAATAATTAATTAACATTTTTACAGGGCCCATGATTTTTTCCTTGCTGGTTTTTTTTTGGTGGCAAATTGAAAGTAAGTCCTTTTAAATTTAGGCACAATTAAAAAGTATCAAAAAGTAGTAAAAATACAAAATTGGCAATACTGATGTGACACTCTACATAATATGCATTTTCAGTATATAACATGGCCCTAAGAGCTAGAGTTTCGAGACTATTTCGTTCGAGACTATTTGAGACGAAAATTATAAATTTTTTTTATAAAAATAAACCATTTTCTAAAACTTTTGCTATTGGTTTGATAAAAACCAATTTCAAATAGAAAAAAAAACACAGCATCCTGGAAAGTTGTGGTCCATTTAAGCTATAGTATTTCAAATTATTTTTTCCCCTCATTATTTTGATAACTCTTATATTACAAAATTGATGCTTCAACATTTATAATTTAATTTTTTTTTTGTGTTTGTTCGTAGTAAATCAAATTCGAGTCAATTTATGAGAACCACTTAAAAATTGATTTCTCAAGCATGTAATACTAACAAACAATTTATCAATATCTGAAAACAGAACAATTTTTCTTTAGAAAATTTTATTAATTTCTGGAAATAATCAAACAGAACTCAAATCTATCTTTTGATTCCTAGTAGCTTTTACTAACATTTCCACTTGCAATAAAATTTCAATTTTCGACAATCTACGCTTGGCAAATTGGTAATTTATTATTTTTTAGTTTGATTTATGCTTAAAATTTTCTTTTATTTTTTTAGCAGCTGCTAAACTTTCTGAACTCTAAAATTCAGTTGATATATTGAAAATTTCGTAAAAATGAAAAAAAAAAAAATAAATAAATTCTTTTAAAACAAATTTTTAAGCGTTGGTATTTATATTTCAAATCGTAGCAAATCAATTTGCTATTAAAATTGATTTGTGAGCCTGTGAGACTGTGAGACTGAGAGCTCATTTCTGTGACAATTCACCCGCAATAGGAAAATTGCTGAAGAGTGAATATAACAACAACAATAACAACAACTACAACAACATGGATAGCAATAAATTTATTTTATCCAACATTTGTGGATTTCAAATGAATTTTCAACAAAATCAAAAATGCTTTGAAATTGAACGTTGACAAATTTTTGACATTGGCATCTGTGACGTACGAGCAGAGCAGAGCAGAGCAGAGCAAAGCACTTCAGATACCCCCATTACTAAGACAAGAGATAATTTAGCGTTGGCACATGTGTACGTATGTTTTTCTATGGAACCATGTAGCTTTAGATTACAAGCTATATATTACCTGGCATTTATTTGTACTTCCGCTGCTGCTGCTGTTGATGTTGTGTCAACCTAACAATTCCCTTTCATTTATTTTATATTTCCAAGTTCATTTATTTAAGGTGCACAATGGTTGTTGTTGTTTGAAAGAAAGGTGGTATGGTACATCTAGCAATTGAATTGTACAAATTTTGATTGGCAAATATATGAGCTTTTACATACACATACCAAAGGCACCGTAGTATTGTGTGCATGTGTGTGTGTGTACATTTGCTTGTGTTTCTGTGTTATCAACTGCGCGTGCATATGCTTTGACACGCTTATCTCAAACTAACATTACACATTGTAGGTGCTTTCAAGCGCATATTTATCCTTGTATGTAATTTGTATTTGTAGGTGTGTGTGTTTGTGTGCGTATACAAGTGTGGCTGTTTGCCAGAAATCAATGAAGCATAATGTACTGTTATGCGTACTCATCAATAATGTTTTGCGAAAATAAATGGGCGTGCGATAAAGCTGACAAAAGCATAATGAAAATAATTTTTAACTTGATTTTTTGTTTTGTTTGAACTCTGCACCGCGTAGCAACACTTTTCTATCTTTGATTGGTACGAGCGGGGGAAGGGGGATTGTTAAATTTTTGATTTCGTCATTTTTCAATTCCATTTTACTTTATATATATATGTATTTTTTTTTGTTTTGTTTTTGCAATATGAATATTGTTGAGCAACAGTTGTTGTGCTTGCTCACTGACACATAGATCGCCATTTTATTTATTTGTCAGTCAATATAATATTTCGTGTTATGGCAACGCTTTTGTTTTATTTTTATTAAGTTTGCGTACATGTGTTCGTGTCTGACAAGCTGTTTTCCGGCGATAATGAACTAGCAACTTTATATGTTAACAGTACGCGCTCGATAATATCAATACTGTCTATCACACTTTTTACATATTTATATAAAAAAAAATGTAAGAAGAGTAAGTTATTTTTTTTCTCTTTTATTGTTGAAAAGGTTAAGTGGGTTAATTTTATTCAAGCTTACCGGGTTTTGACCGCATTATCTCTAAGGTAGATGAAATTGATTTATAAGCCTTTTTTTAATAACAACATAAGGAATGGAAATTCCTAGGTTTTGATGACCGATGAGGTTTTGAGAATTTGTATGTTAGACTAATTTTAATAGTGTAACAATAGTGTAATAGTGCAATAATAATATCTAATTTAATAGATATATTTCAGACTTTGTAAATGATGGAGATGTAAAGTTTAATGGATTGTAAAGATAATGTATTTAACATTGTGTAAATAATAAAAATAATTAAGATTTTGTATATTTAGTTACTAATATTAATAAAACAAAAGAATGGTTAAAAACTAAACTGTTTTTGATTTAGATTTATAATAATTTTGTTTTTTTACGGGCTTTTTGGTCAATAGTTAGATAATAATCTTTTTAAAAAATTTTTATTTGTTTTGAAAAGATTTTATTTTAACCGATCATGATGATGCCTACAGATTATAGTTGAAATATCGGTTAATATAAAATCTTTTAAAAACAAATAAATTTTGTTTTAATAGTTTATTATTTGACTATTGACCAATTAGCCCATAAGAAAATAAAATTATTATTAAAAATATTTGGTCATTAAAACAATAAATTAAAAAAGTTTTAATAAAAGACTGATATTTTCTCGATTACATTATTCTTTAAAGTATTCAAAAGAAAATATATGAATGCTTTTTTCATATTTAACGTACACACAATAAATTTCAATTAATTAAATTTCTTAAATATTTTACAATCAGATGCTGTGCCCTGAAGAACAAAGCCTCGATCCTTTCCAAGGAGGAAACTTTTTCTAAACGCATAGAGGAATTTCTTGAAATTTCAAGTGGGGCGTTAAATTATACTAATACATCTGTTGAAAATGTTAAATCTTATTGGCGTGTAATCACGTTAAAAAAAAGACTCTATGAACATTCGGATATATACTTTAATTTTACAACCACTTGGTGGAGCTATTTTATAATAATTTATAATATAAATATTATTTGTACACCTTTTTAAAAGGTTGCCACCCATTCTTTATGTTCATATTAGTTACGCTTACGGCTGTAAGTCATAAGTCAACAATATTTTATTGTGTCACGGGTGCGGGCCAATGTTGCTGTTTTGTATACTTCAAAGGAATGAGTTTAGGGATAAATTTAGTTGATAAAATTATAAAAAACATATGAATAGTTTTTAGATATTTGTAAACCATTTTTTCATACATAATTATTTATACTTCATTTAATGGATGAAATAAACTATTTTTAGAAAAAAAATAGTTTGAACAATAGTGAATTTTAACAACAAAATTTTATTTTTATTTCATAGAATTATGCCGTTCCAAATCTTTCTATATAATTATTTATATTATATTATTATTTATATTATTTAATATATTATATATATTAAAGTCTAGTGCTTGCATTCATTTGAAATGAAAAATTGATATAAAACTCCATTAAAAAAAAATATTTTCCACAAAATTTAGACATTATTTCTTGATTATTTTTTGATCTAAAATTTGGACATTGGAAAATAATTTCTTATATATGAAGTGTTATCTTGATTTTACGTGTGAAAAGGTTAGTACTAGGCTTAAGTTTATATTTGAATTTTAAAAAAACCCAAAATTTAATAATTACTAATGCATTTATTATCGTGCGTTGCCTGTATCAGCTTTCAACAATGAACAAATGGGAGCACACATGTTTAACTTTATTCATGTGTTTCATAATTTATCACACAAAATACGTGTAAAATGCACAAATATCATAAATTTAAACAAAAGTAAATAAAATATTGGAATGGAACTTAACAACAGCAGCAACAACAGCAGCAACAACAACAGCAACAGAAGCGAGAGCAACATCATTGCCATCATTTCTATTTTATTGTTGCTTTTTAAATGTTTTATTGCGTTTTGAGAACACTTTTATCAATATGGCGTCAACATTGATATCCTTTTTAACAAATGTTATCCTTGCTTTGTTCTTGGCGAAGACGCGAGAAATGAAAACAAATTTCATTATAGAAATTGACAGCAACACAGGGATTTAATGGATTGTGCTTTCAATAATAACACAAATATACTTCACACTATAACATTTCAGCCGTTATCTGTCCTGGCAATGAATTTCTAACATTTCTCGATTATTCCATTTTTTTGCGTTTTTACAATAATATTTCGGTAATAATTTTATTTTATTTTGTATTTTGAAATATTTTTGGCATTTTAATTGTGTGCGATTATTGTAGTAAGCAAATGGCAAGTAAAGCAATTTAAATTCCTCACACTCACCATGTAACCATCATACGTCCATGAACCGAATTTCATAAAACATGTCTGCTCATCGAACGGAAAATATTCGACATCAATTTCGCAAAAGGACTTGTAAATGGCGGGTGGCTTCCACACCACTTTCCCGGTGTGATGCAAAATTGCTTTTGTCATTATTGTCACTTCGTAATTGCCATCAGCGCTGAAAAGAGGTAAAAACATTAAATGAAATATTGCGAAAATATAATTAAATATATTTTTAAAATAATGTACTTTAATGATTTCGACTCAATTTTATTGAAGGTAAATATTCTTAAAGTAATTTTAAAGTTTGGAAAAGTGTCAATGAAAAATAAATAAATAATATTTAATTAAAAAAAGCAAAAAATAAATAATAATTTGAAGTGTAATTAATTTATTTAAATTTAAATATATATAAATTCATTGCAAAAAATCAGAATATGATTCAATACACTAATTAAGTTACTTGCGGAAACTCCAATCTCACTCATTACTTTCACGCAAGCAGTCAATGTTCAATTTAATTCACATATATAATACTATACCAGGTGTACCGGTATGAAGTGAGCGTAAAGATACAAATGTTCCGACAGGGACCATTTGTTGTGAACGAGCCTTTATTTCTTTTTGTTTGTTTGCTATGACATGTGTGAAATATATTTAGTATACATCAAGTCATTGAACAGACAACATTTGCGGAAAGCATTAATTTTTTGTTTTCATTTGAAGAAAAGTGGTGCAGAGTCGCATCGAATGCTTGTCGAGGCATATGGTGATCATGCTCTATCAGAAGATGGTTTCAACGGTTCAGAAATAATGATTTTGATCTGAGAAATGAAGAACGTGGAAGACCGCCAAAACAGTTTGAAGACGCCGAATTGCAAACGATATTGGATGGAGATGACACTTTGGGTCAAAAGCAAATGGCAGAAATATTAAATGTTGCACAACAAACAATTTCTGACCGTTTAAAAGCTATGGGAAAGATCCAAAAGTGTGGAAAATGGGTGCCACATGAATTGAATGAATGGCAGATGAAAAACCGAAAAAACACTTGTGAAATTTTGCTTCAAAGACACGAAAGATAATCGGTTTTGCATCGGATTGTTACTGGCGATGAAAAATGGATTTATTTTAAGAATCCTAAACGGAAAAAATCATGGGTTAACCCGGGACAACCATCAACATCGACTGCAAAACCAGATCGATTCGGCAAGAAGACAATGCTGTGTGTTTGGTGGGACCAGAAAGGTGTGGTGTACCACGAGCTCCTAAAACCTGGTGAAACCGTCAATGCTGGTCGCTATGCATTGATCGAGAAACGACCAGAATGGGCCAGAAGACACGGCAAGGTAATTCTGCTCCATGACAATGCACCTGCACACAAAGCAAAACGAGTTCAGGATGCAATCAAAACACTTGGCTGGGAGCTGCTACCCCACCCCATCCGACTACCATTTGTTTTCATCGATGGGACACGCATTGGCTGAGCAGCACATTGATTCCTACGAGGAGGTCGAAAATTGGGTGTCTGGTTGGTTTGCTTTAAAAGACGAACAATTTTTTTTTGGCGTGGTATCCACAAATTGCCAGAAAGGTGGTCAAAATATGTAGAAAGCAATGGCCAATACTTTGAATAAAATGTTTTTTACTTTCCTATTAATAATTAGTGTTTTATTTTCACCAAAAAACGCTCATTTCATACCGGTACATCTAATATATAGTAAAGCTAACCTTGACCGGTGTTAAATCTCACAAATCACGTTAAACTACTTTAACAAATACGCACTGCAGATACATACTACAGAAACTCAATTTTTTTAAATTCGAGACAAAGAATTCTACTTTGGTTCGAACTCTATTCGAATATCGAAAGTCTAACTTCAAATGTGTTTATTGTTGCATATTTCGAAGGTTTGAAGTTTTAATTTAAAATTTAATTTTAATTTCTTTTATGAAATTTCGAGTCAAATTTGCCACGGCGAAGTTTGATTTTAAGAATACCTTGTTTTCTTTGAAAAATTCCATTTCAACAGCGAATTGGTTTGGCGAATAGCTGGTGAAACATTATTTCTACACTAAAAAAATTTTATTTTCAAAAGTATTAAAATAAAATACATTTTGATTTAAAATAAAAATTTTGATGTATTATTACATAAGAATTGGTATTTAAATTCTAAATAAAATTAGAATATATTTTAAAATCTAGGCTGGTAGCCACGACCCACTAATGCAAAGTAAACATTTTGTCAACTACGCCATTTCCACGGACAGAAATTAGTTATAATATATTAATTCTGTGACTTTAGTTAAAAAAAATTTACATAGATAAAACACAATCTACAATTAAAATTTAAATAAAATTTTATATCTTAAATATTTACTTTTCCAAAGAAGTATAAAGAAGCTGATATCAAAGGAGCAAACCCGCGGTTCAAAGCTTTGACGAATTCGACTTGAGTCGGCGCATCTTACAAGAATTTGAATTGAATTCTGGATAGCTTTCAAAAAAAAAAAATCGTTTAATGGAGTTTTTGTTAACTCGATTCGAATTTGAGAAGATACCAAAAATGCAAACTCGTTATTTGAACTTTTAGCGGATTTAACGCTATACCAAAATGGCGTACATTTGTCATTGGATGTATTGGGAAGGACCAAAATTAGAATTCGTGAAAGGTAAATTACAACGCTATGGAGAGCAGGATTGTTATTGACAGAAAATGTTGAAGAAATTGATTTAAAAAAACTTGCAGTATTCATTTTCGCAATTTTAAAATTTTAAAATTTTAAAAAAACTTGCAGTATTCATTTTTGAAATTTTAATATTACACAACAATTTTTTAAATAATATCGATATAATAATATTTTAGTTTGGCTTCTTGTTTTCAAATATTAATTGTAACAAATAGATCATTACTTTTAAATAATTTTGAAATAATAATAACTGATTTTTGTAATAATAATAAACAGACTCATCCGATTTTTTAATATAAAATGCCCTTATGGTCTTTTTGAATTTAGCACAGATCGTGTAGAGCAGTGGTTGCCATCCGGTGGTTTTGGAGATGATTAAAAATGGTTCGTGAATCAAATTTAACAGGTATGGTCCACTGAGATCTCCCTGATTAGAAAATAAACACAAAAAATTTCCAAGTAATTATATACATATTTTATAGCCTATGTAATGTACCTATGCACTTATTCATTTTATTATATATTATACAAGAGATGCATATAGCAAAGCGTATTAAAATAATCATAGAGTTTATTATTCTTAAACTTTCTGATCCCTACGAAAAACAAAATTATCATAGCAGTCTTTGGTCAAAAAAAAAGTTGGATACCACTGGTGTGTTGCATTAGTCAAAGTGCCATCTAATAGCAGTAATACTGCAAAAAGTAAGTAAATGAGAAATGAAAGCGAATAAATGAAACGAATAAACGAATAATTCTATTTGAACAGCATTTAAATCGAGGAAGTATAAATCAAAAATGAATTGATAAATAACAATTAAATTATAAATAAATATAGTTTAAAAGTAATTTTTAATAATATTTTTGATCGAGAAATATTAATATTTTGATAAGTGTAAAATTTATTATTTATTAGTTATGATGAGTTAAAAGGATAGCGACTTTCTTTAACTTGCCAAAAAACCAAAAATAATATTTCTATAAATTATAATTTAAAGCTTTTATATTTTTCTCGAATAAATCACAAATTGGCACTTCAACTTAATAGCATCTAAATTTGAGCCATTATCCAAAACCAAAACCACATACCCTGCTCTTCGCATTTGTGTTTAATGGTATTAAATTAGTAGTCGGAGAAGGAGAAGAGAAAAATTTTGTGTATTTTTGTGGCATGAAATTAACTGATTTACGATAAATTTTGGTATTCTCAGAAGTACTTTGCGCTTTGTTTCCTTTAATTAAATGAATTCTGTTGACAATTTTATTATCTGCGTTGTCCTCTTATTCAATTATCTGCTATTCTTCGTCATTATCTTTTAATGTATCTTTATATATTCGAATAAGTATCTAGACATTCGCTTTAAGTTTGTTGCTTATTATTTGGACTTTTTTTTATGCCACACAAACTTATTTCATATAAAACAGATAAATGTGTGTACTTGTATAAGAACACAAAAAAATAATATTGTAAAAAAATTATATCTAAAAATATATAATAGAATGAAAATGAAAAAAATATGAGAAGAAATGACTTAACCTAATTATCGTTTTATTGGTTCTATAAAGTTTTTATAAGTATATTTAAACTTTAATAAACGAGTATTTAGGTATAGCAGATATGTGTGTTTATACAGAACTCACCACATCTTGGTGTAGAGTATATAATTTACTTCTTGATATACTTCTGTATATCATATTGTTATTGTATCGAAACAGCTTAGTTGACCACTAAATTATTATATATAAAAAAATAAAATAATTTTGTTATAAACACAAGTAACTAGCATCTCCAGCTCAACAAAGTGCTGCTGGCATGTTGATTGTTGTTTTGGAAAAACATTTTCCTCCCCAATAGCCATTTTCATCCCATGTACCATCAGCCATTAATGGTCTTAATAACAACTGAACTTTGCTGTAACTTCAGTTACGTTTCATATTATTTTCATTATTAGTCTCCCATGTAATATCAATTTCAAAGAAAATTTATTTTGTATATGCGGAACTTTTTTATGTATATTAAAGTAAATAAATTATTCTAGGGAATTTTTTATTAAAAAATTTTAAATAAGTGATCATCAAAATTATGAAATTATATACAAAAAAGGCACAGTTGTGCTGGTACTACTATACTATTATAATAGTACAAAAATCAGGGCGAAGGACTTATTGGTCCAGTTTCTTACTCTTAGTTAACTTTGAAATTAATTTTAGTGTTAACTCACAAATAAATAAATAGTAAATATGTAGTACAATAACTCGAAATATCCCTATTTTTCGAAGTAAATGTTAAAGCTGGAGTTTTTAATATACTATAAATACAAAAAACGTATAATTTTGTTTTTGTTTTGTATAAATGAACGATAAGTTTCACATTTTAAAATATAAATATATTCAATTAAAAATATTAAACAGAGTTTTAACCATTAATAAGTCACCTATATCAATGAATCCGCGAAAAAACTTGATAGAATCGAATAGGCCATTCAG